TAAATCTCATATAAACTAATGTAAGAGTGATCATAGATAGTATAAACATCATTTGAGACCGAAATTCGGTGTTCATATGTGTTCGTTACAAGAGGTACAGTTGACCCAATATACGGTACTAACACAATACAAAACTGGTACTATCTTACTCTAGGTCTGGTACTACTTTTTGTAAATGTTGACCAAAATTGAAACAATCCATTTTCATTCACAAAAGTAGGTACTAATCGATCAAAAAGAGGTACCACGCAGAAGAAGATGCGGTACTATTTTGTCTAAAACAAGTACTATTTTAAGAATCGTGATTTCTCTAATCATTCTTCTCTACCATGACACGTGAATCATTCACGCATGATTTGGATGAAAAATAGTGGAAGTTAAAATATATAGGTAGAATTTGGAATAGTCATGTATGATGATTCTATGAGATGAAGTGTGTCATTTAATGAAATGAAGTGTAATAGCCGTACTTTCTAATTAGTGTGTCGAGTTCATGATCAATTTACAATTAAACTCAATTAAAAATATTTTAAATCTCATATAAACTAATGTGAGAGTGATCCTAAGTCATATAAACATCATTTGAGACCGAAATTCGGTATTTTTATATGTTCGTTACAAGTGGTGCTGATGACCTAATGTCTGGTATTAACACAATAGAAAACTGGTACTATCGTACTCTAAGTCTAGTACTACTTTTTGTAAATGTTGACCAAAATTGAAATAATCCATTTTCGTTCTCAAAAGTAGGTACTAATCGATCAAAAAGAGGTACCACGTAGAAGAAGGTACTATTTTGGCTAAAACATGTACTATTTTAAGAATCGTGATTTCTCTAATCCTTCATGTCTACCATGACACGTGGATTGTTCACGCATGATTTGGATGAAAAATAGGGAAGTTAAAACATATAGGTAGAATTTGGAGTAGTCATGTATGGTGATTCTATGACATGAAGTGTTCATTCAATAAAATAAAGTGTATTATGAGTGTTTTCTCTGTGTCGAGCGTTCATTACCAATTTGCAATTAATCTCAATTAAAAATATTTAAAATCTCATATAAACTAATGTGAGCGTGATCATGGTCATATAAACATCATTTGAGACCAAAATTCGGTGTTTATATGTGTTTGTTACAAGTGGTACTGATGACCCAATATCTGGTACTAACACAATACAAAACTGGTACCATCTTACTCTAGGTCTGGTACTATTTTTGTAAATGTTGACCAAAATTGAAACAATTCATTTTCATTCACAAGAGTAGGTACTAATCGATAAAAAAGAGGTACCAAGCAGAAGAAGATGTAGTACTATTTTGGCTAAAACAGGTACTATTATAAGAATCGTGATTTTTTAAATCTTTCATGTCTACCTTTTCACGTGGATCTTTAACGCATGATTTGAATAAAAAATAGTGTAAGTTAAAACATATAAGTAGAATTTGGAGTAGTCATGTATGATGAATCTATTGAGATGAAGTGTCTCATTCAACGAAATAAAGTGTATTTGCAGTATTTTCTAATTATTGTGTCGAGTTCATGATCAAGTTGCATTAAACTCAATTAAAAATATTTTAAATCCCATATAAACTAATATGAGAGTGATCTTGAGTCATATAAACATCATTTGAGGCCGAAATTCAGTGTTTTTATGTGTTCGCTTCAAGTGGTACTGATGACCTAATATCTGGTACTAACACAATAGAAAAATGGTACTATCTTAGTCTAGGTCTGGTACTACTTTTTGTAAATGTTGACCAAAATTAAAACTATCCATTTTCGTTCACAAAATTAGGTACTAATCGATCAAAAAGAGGTACCACGAAGAAGAAGATGTGGTACTATTTTGGCTAAAACAGGTATTATTTTAAGAATCATGTTTTTTTTTAACTTTTCCTTTTCACGTGGATTGTTTACGCGTGATTTGGATGAAAATTGTGGAAGTTAAAGCATATATGTAGAATTTGGAGTAGTCATGTAAGATGATTTTATAAGGTGAAGTGTGTCATTCAATGAAATGAAGTGTATTAGTAGTGTTTTTCTCATTAGTGTGTCGAGTTCATGACCAATTTGTGATTAAACACAATTAAAAATATTTTAAATCACATATGACCAATGAGATGAAGTGTATTAGTAGTGTATTTTCATGTTGAGTGTTGAGTTTTTGACCAATTTGCAATTAAACTTAATTAAACACATTTTAAATCTCATAGAAGCTAATCGAGAATAATTATTGGTCATGTAAACATTATTTGAGACCGAATTTCGGTGTTTTTTATGTTCGTCGGAGTTTGCATGAAGACCCAATATCTGGTACCAATTTTGTAAATGTTGACCAAATTTGATGTAATCTATTTTTTGTTCTTTCTACAAAGTATGTACTAATTCATCAATAATCGGTACTGCATAGAAGAAGAAGTGGTACTATTTGTGAAAAAAAAACTGATACCAATTTACGGAATTCTTTTTTTTTCTTATGTTCGTCGGTGCTGGCACTGAAGACACGATATCTGGTATGAAAACAAACATTAAAAATTATAGTACAATGTACATCGTATCATATTTAAGACAAACGTGAACTAGATTAACTATCATGTCTACCACTAACTAAAATTACAAAGAATGAAATTAGGAGCGAGCTACAACTTTGAGTTGCGAATTGCAAGTTGGCACGAGCTGCGGGCTACGACAAAAAATTTGAGCTGCGAGCTGTTACAAAAATCTCTGAACGGGCTATCGTGAAATTTAAGCTGCGAGATGCAACAAAAGCCTCGAGTGGGGTATGTTATTATCCGATCTGCGAGCTGCTACAAAAGCCATGAGTAGGCTATGGTAGAATTTGAGCTGCTAGCCACTATTGTTATTAGAGCTGCAAGCAAAATGAAGTTAAAGCATTGTTGCAGCTAAAAACAAAAAAAAATATATGTAGCGCATATGCATAACAGGATTAGATACAGCAAGTCAAATAGCATGAATCTGCCACCGGAAGCTGGAGAATGATTTATAATGGAATGCAAATGATCGATTCTGCATATTGCTAACAGAGATGTATGCGAGCAACATACAAAGTAGCAATCGACTTAGCCACAGAGAAACGAACCAAACAAGGATGCAACCCAAAAAGACGAGCACAACACGTAAAAGCAGGAATCGCTACTAATCTAAAGCAAAAGAGCAATCCGCCCATCACGAGAGCATCTCGCGAAAAATCAGAAACTAGCAGGAGCGACACACATCAAGGATTAAGAAAATTCCTGTCGAGAATCATATAAAAATCGCGAGTAAGGGCAAAGCATCCGAAAGCAACTTAACTCACGCCACGGAAGTCTGGGAGCATCAATTCGTGTGAGATTCACAAGAAAACGAGCAATACAAATGTGATTCACACATCAAGATTAACACATCACAACCAGCACCACAAATCAAGAAAAAATATGCCTAAAAGAGAATAAACACATACAAACCGAAAACGCGACTCACTTGGAATCTCGAAATACGTTGAATCTGGACTTGATATCTCGCAAAATAGGGATCACGAGTAGCCTGCCAGGGGAGTAACCAAAGAACCGCGGCTAACACGCTGGGAATAGAAAATCTCGACTGAACACGTCGCTACAGGATTGAAGACCGCGACCACTAAATCACGATTGAGAAAAAATTGCAGCAGAAAAGGTAAATCGGGAGACGAAGTGCAGAAATTTGGACAGAAACCGAAGTAAAAATATCAGAGGAAACATATATTTCTTCGATTCCATTGAAACCAGATCCAAATTGTCCCTCTTATCAAAGTGAATTCTCTCACTCACCTATTCCCACTCAGAATCGTCCCTCTCGTTATCACCAGCACGATAATTATCGTTAAAACCATAAAAAGGATCGTAATAATCGCCATCGTTACAAGCCCTAGGTTTACCTCGGAATCGGACTCCGAATCGGTGACTGCCTGCCCCCGGCCTGTGTAGATGTCCAAACGAAGATCCTCCGACAACGGTCACGCTGGAACAGTTCCGGGATGGAATGTCCCGTCATTGTCTTCTTCACCTCTGGAGGAGAAGCCATCGGGATCCTCGTAATCGCGGTACGAGGCCTGGAAACTTTTTTTCGGTTATTTCTTTACGAATGTGGATGGGCCTCGCGAGCTCTTCCTGTGTGTCGATTCGGACGCCGGAGATTCAGATTTCCCGGAGGCAATTTCACGAAGAGAGATTCAGAGAAAGATGAGAACTGATAGAGCATATGAGAGAGAGACGGGAATTGAGAGAGAAATTACTATTTTTTTCTATTTTCAAGTAAAATAAATGGATAATAATAATATTATTATATATAGGGGGACTGAAGTGGAAAAAGAAAGTATGTGTTAGGGAGTGCAGAAGAATAAAATTAACTTAGGGACTGACAAAGAACTTGAATATAGCAGGAGGGATTTATCTTGCATTTGCCGATATATTAATTGAAAGGAGAAAAAAGAAAATATTAATTGAAAGGAGAAAAAAAAAAAAAGAAAAAAGAAAATAAAAGGCAAAAATGGGAAGGAGGAGAAACAGAGCTTGGATTTGGGGAAGTTTTTGGAGCTAAAACTGAAAGATGAGAGTCCTACTGCCCGAGCTGAGGGGTTGTTGCATTGTTGTGCTAACTGCACTGCTGCCCCCACACCATGTGTTTTTGTGTGTGTGTGTGTGTGTGTGTGTCAGTTTGTATATAAATGAAAAAAGAGAAAAAAAAAAGAAAAAAAAAAAAGAAAAATGAAAAGGAAAAAGAGTGTATTTTGAGTATACCCTGAAATTTCCTCCTCCCCCAACTCTCCTGGCTTATAAAGCCGCCATTCCTCCTCATCTCCCCATATCACATCCATTGCTACTAATTTTCTTTCTTCCCATTCTCTGCTGCATATTCATTCTCTCCATCTTTCTTTCTCTTGCTTCCCCTTTGTATCAACAGTTGAGCAGATAGGCTTGTAATTAATTAAAGATTGCCCCTTTATTTGTCTTCCCTCAAAAATGAAGTACGTGTTGGTGACGGGAGGAGTGGTGAGTGGGCTGGGTAAAGGCGTGACTGCCAGCAGCATCGGCCTTATCCTCAAGGCCTGTGGCCTTCGCGTTACTTCCATCAAGATTGGTACATTTCTTTTTCATTTGTCATCTTCTTCTTCTGCAATCTCCGGACGGAAACTGATTTTGTTGTTTTGGCATTCAGATCCTTATTTGAATACGGATGCGGGAACTATGTCTCCTTTTGAACACGGAGAAGTGTTTGTTCTCGATGATGGTGGGGAGGTACTTTTTTTTTTTTTTTTTCTTTTTGGGCCTTTGTTTAAGCTGCAACTGTGGTATTTTCTGCACATACCTCATTCAGTGAGCTGTCTGGCTGGGATACTGAAAACTAAAGCTTTTCCTTTGCTTGTCTCTGCTTCTTCAATTCGTGTTCTTGTTTGGGGGTGCCTTTGTTTAGATTGTTCTGTGTTATTTTTCTAATTTTAGCTGGAAAAGTTTAGATAGTATATTTAATATCTACTACTAACTTTTACTGGTTATCAAAATATCATAGAATTCTCTAATATTACCAGATTTTGGTGTGAGGTTTGGAATTTTCTTCATGGCAATGACTAATTTCCTTCTGAAGGTGGACCTGGACCTTGGAAACTACGAGCGGTTTCTGGATATAAAACTGACACGAGACAATAACATAACGACCGGAAAAATTTACCAGGCAAGTACTGTTCATCAAATTTTGTACAAAGTATTATTACCCAAAAACATTATATTGATATCGCTTTCGTGTTTTAGTCCGTAATCGACAAGGAGAGGAGGGGAGATTATTTAGGGCAAACAGTTCAGGTTTGTTTCTCCATCTTGCCCGGTATCTATCTACTTTATTATAAAGTAATTTCATAGTACTCAGTTCTGCTGACTAGCTCCCTGTTCAGGTTGTGCCTCACATAACTGATGCCATCCAAGAGTGGATTGAACGTGTTGCTGCTATACCAGTGGATGGGAAAGAGGGCCCAGCTGATGTTTGTGTTATAGAGTTGGGTGGGACTATTGGTAACAAGGCTCTCTCCCAATGAGACTTGTATGATCATTTTATGGAATTTAAGATATTCTGAAAAAAGTTCTTTATTTTTGTAGGGGATATTGAGTCGATGCCCTTCATCGAGGCTCTTGGACAATTTTCATATCGAGTTGGTGAGATTGTGTTTTTGCATAGTTTCCATAAGTGCACTCACCATAGAGAGCACCCTAAGTTCTGTTATTGTCGTGAAAAAGCTAAACTTGGTGCTTCATGTTAATGCTGGTCGACCTTCGCAGGTGCTGGGAATTTTTGTTTAATACATGTCAGTTTAGTGCCTGTTGTAACTGTTGTTGGTGAGCAGGTGATTTTATGGGGACGTTCATGATGTCTTTTGCTTAGATAGATTACTTGGTATAAACTAATAACATGAAAATGTCATTGGTTTTGTCATGGACAGAAAACAAAGCCAACTCAACACAGTGTTAGGGGACTTCGAAGCTTGGGTCTGACACCAAATATTTTAGCGTGCCGCAGCACAATGGTCTCTCTCTCTCTCTCTCTCTCTCCTTTC